AAAAAGCCGGAAGTGGCGCTGTGGCTCAAGTGGTAGAGCGCTAGCCTTGAGCTGAAGAGCTGAGGGACAGTGCCCAGGCCCAGAGTTCAGGCCCCATGTCCAGACCACCCCCCCAAAAAAAAGAGGTTGAGGCAAGGGGACAGAGGGTCCAAAACAAGCCTGGGTAGCACAGTAAGACCCTATTTCAAAAGAACAAAAAAGATAACCTAGAAGGCATAAACAACCTTGAAAAAAATGTCAGGGATGAAATTTTAAAATGAGCAGAGCTGTCCAAAGTGGTTGAAGTACTCACTGTCACCTGTCAAAGCCTGATTTATAATGTGCATGTAAAGAGTCTGGAAGGTAGGAAGGTAGAGTAGCTCACCAGGAGTCTGAAGCTAAAAAATCGAATCAGGTGGGAGGGCACTGATTGCAACAGGACAGAAACGAAAACACAAAAGACAACGTGATCTGAGCAGCTTCCTCTCTGTTCAGTTTCCTGGGGTGCTGTGTCTGTCCTGGAGTAAGGACAGCAACATGGAGTCGGTGAGGAGACCCACTCAGTCTTTGTCTAACACAGCCTGTGTGCAGGGAAGTGAGGACAGACTGTGTGCAAGGCATTACCAGGATGTTAAACCAGCATTCCTACAGTGTTTCTAAAGTCATATATCACACCTGAAACAAAAGACTAAATAGTGTATGCACCTACAAAGTTATTCTCTTCTCCTATAGCTAGTATTAGAAACTGGCTATGTCCAGGAGAATAACAGATTAAGAAAGTGGCATTATCTTTAAAAGCATTCCAAGGACAAATAGCAACAAGAAAATACCAAATTTAATACAGTAAACTTGAAATGTTTCCTTACCTTTGGCATCTGCTGAGTGATTTTGGCCAGATTCTGCCCTTTCTTGCCAATGATAAACCGGTGAAGCCAGGAAGGGGCAGACACAGAAGAGACTGTGAAACTATTGGCCTAGGACAAACAGGACAATAGACTTGAGGTTTGTGGAACTCAAGGTTACACTAAACAAAGGCCAGAGGTGAGCATCCAGGCCCACGGGATATAACAGGCGTCAGCTCATACAAGGCCCCAGAAATTCACCAAAATAGTGTATTCCCCAGGGGGAAAGGCTACCTTGGCATAAACTTCAGTCAATGCCTGCCCCAACTTTTCAGGCTCGCCCCGCAGTATCACAGTCTCAGAGACGCTATCTGAGGGCGGTATCTCAACAGAAACTCCAGTTCTTTCCAGGATCTCTTGCAATGAATTGCCCTTTGGCCCGATGACATACTTGTGCTGGGATTTCTTCACCTCCACTGCAATGGTTGTGGTCTTCTTTTTCTAATGAAGAGCATTAAGGACAATCAGCAGGAAAGACATGGGAGGCAGACAGTGGGAGCAGAATGTCACTGCCAACAGAGGAGGAAGTAAGCCAGATGAGACACTGACAACAGAGCTAATCCCCAAAAATGAAGACATGACTAGCCTCCCCAGAGACTCTCCACTTCCCAAGGACTACATTTTCCCTGAAGTCAATCTGGAAGACTTTGAAACTTCAACTTTGTCCCCTAAATTAAAGAACAAGGTCCAGACCTCAGTGATGACCAATGTGAGCTAACAGCTTAAGCAAAGATGAACGGCTTTATGCTGTATGTATAACCCCTATGACAACCCAGGCAGCAAGCTCCTAGCCTGGCTGGAGGCCTGGGAGAAGATTTGAGATGTGCCCGGCATTCAGCAGCTCAGAAGGAAGTGTGGACACCAACACCTAATCACTAAAGATATAAGAGGAGAGGCAGAACAGGGCTTAGCCAAGCCTTCAGACTTAAGTCCTGCTGCACAGTCCTGTCTACTGGCTCTCACTCCTTTACATGGTACCTTTTCCTCATAAATCTTCTTGATTCGAGCCACTGCCTGAGCCAGCTGTTCCTTCTCTCCAGTGAAGACAATTTCTGTCCGGTTGACGCTGGGTGGGGGGATGTTGATGCGAGTCCCTGTCTCCTGCATGATTTCACCCACAAGTCTGTTGTATGGACCAGCGATGAAGGGGTGGAAGGCCTTCTCCACCTCCAGCCTCTCTACAGCACGCTTGTCCTACAAAGGACAGGGAGACTGATGAGGACACCCAGGCAGGAAAAGGCTTTCCAGGGTCAAAGACAGACACTACACTAGGCCTGTGACAGGGTGACAAATGCACAGGGCTCCAATAGCTTCACCTGCTCAGCAGAGATGAGAAGGACCTCATGGCGAGCTTTCTCAATACCCTCTTTGGTGCCAGTGATCTTGATCTGATTGCTGGGGTCATCTGGGCGTGGGATCTGGATTTTGGTTGCAGTTTTTAGCTCTAGGTCTTGCAGTTTCTCTCCGTTTTTGCCAATAACAAAGCGATGGTGCTCTTTTGGAATGGGAACAGTTGCGGAGGCCTGTACCAGGAAAAGAATTAGAGACAATAAAACTACAGGGCACAGGTGGCTCCCACCTGTAATCCTAGCCACTCAGGAGGCTGAGATCTGAGAATCCAGATTTGAAGCTAGCGTAAGTGGGAAAGTACATGAGACTCTTATCTCTAATTAACTACCAAAGAAAAGCTAGAAGGAAAGCTGTGGCTCAAGTAGTAGAGCACTAGCCTTGAGCAATAATAAAAGTTCACGGACAGTAACCAGACCCTGAGTTCAAGCCCCAGAATTAGCACACGCAAAAAAAGTAATTATATAAAAATAAAACAATCACATAGCAAAACATATCGAATGTCAAAAGAGAATAAGTAATTTATAATTTTTATGACTGATAAAGGATTTTTAGAAGCTCCTGAAAATGGAGAAAAATAAACTTGACAGAAAATGAACAAAACAACAGCCATTTCATAGAAAAAAATGGCAAATATGAATTCAAAATATGTTTAAAAGCTGGGTTGTGGTGGCTCAGGCCTGTAATCCTAGCTACTCAGGAAGTTGAAATCTGAGGATCACAGGGCAGGAAAGTCTGTGAGACTCTGATCTCCAATTAACCACCAGAAAAACGGAAGTGGCACTGTGGCTCAAGTGATAGAGCGCTCGCCAGGCAAGCACTCTCCCACTGAGCCACCTTCCCAGCCCCAAATGTCACTTTTCTAAGCCATGAAGAACTGAACTGTCCTACTGGCAAGAAAAATCCAGTGAAATTCTAGCGTATACCAGGCAGAGGCAGCAACGCAGCTCTACTACAATTGGCCTACGGACACCCACCTGAGTCTGCAGTCTAGCAACGATGTCCTTCCGGGCCTTCATAACAGCGTCCAGCTTCCCTGAGACCATAATGGAGAGGCCTTGGTCTTTGGCCAGAGATAGCTCTAGGTGAGCACCAGTCCTCTGCATGATCTCAAGGCAGATTTTTGCTTGTTCACCTTCTCCAAACTGGTTCATGTCCTTGTATTTCCTTTCCTCTAGGGGTACATGGAACACCTGCCCAGAAAAGACCAGAAAAGGTGAGATTAAAATATAAAGAGCTTGGGCTGGGAAGTTGGCTCAGTGGTAGAGTGCTTGCCTCGCATGCATGAGGCCCTGGGTTCGAATCCTCAGCACCACATAAGCAGAAAAAAGCCGGAAGTGGAGCTGTGGCTCAAGTGGTAAAGCGCTAGCCTTGAGCTAAAGAGCTGAGGGACAGCGCCCAGGCCCAGAGTTCAGCCCACACGACCGGATCAAAATATACATACATACATACATACATATATATATATATACATATATATAAAGAGCAACAAGGATGGTCAATAAACAGTAAAGAACACTCATTCATTGGTCACTCACTTATGAAGCAGTGTCTTAGGACAGGCAATGTAAGAGTCAGGAGAAGCACAAAAGGTCAGCAGACTGACACTGTGGTGCAGAGAACTACACCCACTGTGGAAATGAATGAGAAGGGAGCATCACACAGTGTGCCTGTGAAGGGGGTGGGAAATAGGGGTAATAAACGACTTGGTGGAAGACACCAGGGTGGCCAGAAAAGCCCTTCCTGCGACAAAGCAGCACTTATGTTAGAGAGCAGGGGCAACAGGCTGGTAAGTGGAGGGTGGGGTGCAGGTGAAGAGGACCCTTACCCACATTAAGGTTGACGTCAAAAGGCTTTTAACCAGGACATGTTTTGCTTAATGACTCTGAACTTTATAGAGAATAGGTGAGAGAGGGGAAGGATGGAAGCACCCCCAGCAGCACATTTTTTTGGGGGGGTTCCGGTCGTGGGGCCTGAACTCTGGGCCTGGGCGCTGTCCCTCAGCTCTTCAGCTCAAGGCTAGCACTCTATCACTTGAGCCACAGCACCACTTCCGGCTTTTTTTCTGCTTATGTAGTGCTGAGGAATCGAACCCAGGGCCTCAGGCATGCAAGGCAAGCGCTCTACCACTGAGCCACCTTCCCAGCCCCAGCAGCACATTTTAAAAGGCCTCAGTACAAGGATTGAAACGTGCCTGCTTGTGCACAGAGGGGGTGAAAAATTATTGATGTATGGGTGACAATTTCTTTACCACATCCAGGTATCAGTTCACAGGAAGCCCATATCTCATAGCTAGTGAAATAAGAAAATCTGAACTCAAGATTTAGACAGCAGCAGCACAGGAGAGATTGAGTGAGTTTCACATCTGGTATGGCAGTCAGTGCAATGGCACTCGGGCCCCATGAATCTGACAACTAGCGCTCAACTGTGTGCCAGCCCTCCTGTAGTCAGGAAGGAAGGCTAAGCAAGCACAGCAGAATCTGGACTCTTCAGGAATATGGGACAGAGGAACTTGTTTTATCTGAAGATTCCCTCCCTTCACATACCCAAAGCAACTACATCTTTGCATGTTCAAAACACTACTGTTTCCTATGTGGACAGAGGGGTAAGAAGGGATGTCTTTGCTACCTGAGTGATGACAGAGGCCTTGATGGGCCGGATCTTGTTACTCCAGGCTCCGGCAGGTTCCTGGGCATTTTCCAAGCAAGCTGCTTTCTCAGGAAGTGGAGGGAAAGCATCCTTGTAGGTTGGAGGGTCACTCTCTTCTTCTGAGTTTAAGGTGGTAACTAGACCAACATAGATTTGGAAGAAAGCCCTACTTTAAGTGCTATGGGAGGGTTTTAATAGGAGCTCTCTACTAAAAATTCAAGTATTTGAGTGACAAATGGACCCCTCTGACTCATTCAGTGATGGGAAAGGGCCCCAAAAGTCACTAGGCCCAGAGACCCCAAATCCTGCAGGCTCTTTGTGGTGACCCCTGTGCAGCACACCTACCAGGAGCTCTGCTTCTCTACATAGCCATAACCCTGGAAGGCAAGCCCAAGCAAGCCCTTCCAATTTTTATATCCCTAAGAGTTAGCACGAAAAGCACATAAAGGGACTGTCACCTTTAAGTTGCTGTGGAATCAGCCCACTTCGGTGTTCAGCAAAACTCTCTTGGGTCAAAACTGCAACGGAGCTCATGGTTGATGTCACACCACACACAGTCCGGGTAAGCCACTGTAGCAATAAAGAGAGAATCGGGACAAGCCCAAGTAGAGCCAACTCTCAACCATCTATGAGACCACAAGGACAAGCTGGGGAATTCCAAGTAAGAGAGGGTTTAGGACAGTTGTTTAACTGACCAAGCCTTGCCTGAGACCAAGGAGACAAGGCTTTGCCCAAGAGATTCAGTGTCAGGATGCTCAGGGGTGAGAGTGTGCACCCACCTCTCCGTAACTGGGAATACCAAGAGTCTGTACTCCTACGGGCCTCAGTGACACAGTCTGCAGTACCCGCCACCCCCAAGGGGCCTTGGGACCACCAGAACCTGCTCCTGGCCCAGCTCCTGCAGAGGTCAACACCAGGATCATAGTACCTCTCTCTTTTTTTCTTTTTGTGGTACTGATCATTAAACTCGCTTGTAAGACAAACATTCTGCCAGTTAAGTATACTCCAGCTCTCTTTAGCCTTGATTATTATTTATTTTTTTCTGGGCCTGGGGCTTGAACTCTGGGCCTGGGCTATCCCTGGGCTCCTTCTGCTCAAGGCTAGCAGTGTACCACTCAAGCCACAGCTTCTTCTGTGATTGATTAGAGTCTCACAGACTTTCCTGATCTCAGTCTCCTGAGTAGCTAGGATCACAGGTGTGAGTCACAGACCAAAAAAAAAAAAGAAAAGACTCTCATGGATTTTCCTTCCTGGGCTGGTTGTGAACCATAATCCTTGGATCTCAGTCCTCTGAGTATCTAGGATGACAGGCGTGTGCCACTGGCCCCTGGATAATCTGTTATTTGGATTTGTTTACTACATGCCTCCTGATGGTTAACTATAAAAAGTATCATACTACCATTGTTACCTGCAAGTCACATGTCCAGGACCTAAAGAGAACCCTTTCCCATTCTTAGAAGTAGCAGAAAGTAGCAGCTCACAGGTTTTGTGGTGCTAACAGGCCTATGTATTAGGTGAAATGCCTCTGACATATATGCTGACTGCTAACTTCCCTCAATCTACTCTCCCAAGTACAGGAGGGCCTTAGAAAGGCAGGGAGCTCAGGCCCAAGGCACAATGCTCTTCAGTTCAGGACCTCAGTGCTCAATGGGCACCACTGGTTCTAAAAGCTCCCTTACTTGTAAATCTAACACAGTTCACCGCTCTTGAGTCTTTAGCTTCTTCCCCCCCCCCAAGTTTCAAGTGATCTTTGTACAACTACAACAAGGAAGAAAACCATTTTCTTCACACAATTATGCATTAATTATCTTTTTTTTTATTTTGGGTCCGGTCGTGGGGCCTGAACTCTGGGCCTGGACGCTGTCCCTCAGCTCTTCAGCTCAAGGCTAGCGCCCTACCACTTGAGCCACAGTGCCACTTCCGGCTTTTTTCTTTTTGCTTATGTGGTGCTGAGGAATCGAACCCAGGGCCTTGAGCATGCAAGGCAAGCGCTCTACCACTGAGCCACCTTCCCAGCTCTGCATCAATTATCTTATACATGCTACCTTGGCAAAAGAAATAAATAAGAAATGGCCAGGTAGCTTAACAGAAAAACTTACTCCTTTGTAACACAGTAAGACCTCTCCCCACATTCAGAAATTAAACTCTAGTGTCCTAAAGCAAAGCAACATTCAAATCAGGATAATCCTCAACAAACGCAATTCACTTGCAAAAAAAAAAAAAAAAAACTGCCAACAGAAGGAAGCCAGGACGTGACCTCAGGGCAGGTATCTTACCTTGTGTGTGCTGGTATAGAAGATGAAATGTAGGAAGGAGCTCTAAGTAGGCCAGGGAAACACAGATCCTTGTACTCTAGGCACAGGAAATCTTTGGGGCAGGGCAGTCAAACTTACCAGCAAAATGGTCAATAGCCAGAAAGTCCGTCCGGAGGCCACCTCTGTCAGCCTGCCAGCTTTTCCTGGTACAGGATAGGAAGGAAAAGAACAAAAAGAAAACCATAGGAAAGTTATTTATTCGAATTTTGCAACTCTTAGATCCTTTTATTGCTCAAGCAAAAAAAGGTCAAAATCTTCTTTACACTTCAGCTACAAATCCTGATACATAGGTAAGTCTCTTGGAAAAACAAACAAAATCTCTGCTCTTAGGCTATTAGCTTCAAACAAAACACACTTCAGCAAAACCTAAACATCTTTAACTCTCAAAAGACAACTCTTCCAGGAAGCTGGGCAAGTGAGTAATGCCTAAGTGCCAAAACTTCTAAGTTTAACCATTCAGAAGTTAAAAAAGAAAAGAATTAGGGGAAAGAGAGGAGGCTTCTTCTGCTGTTTAAGCTATGTTTCTTGAAAGTACCTAGCTTTGTCCATTGAGCTGGCTGGGCTGTGGTATTGGCTACAGTGTAGGACTGGGCTGTGGTATTGGCTGCGGCCTGGGCTGTAGTATTAGCTATGGCATAGAACTGGATGTGGACCTTGGTCAGGTGTTCAAGCTTTCAGAGTGGCCAGGATCTCCTTTTTTTTTTTTTTCTGTTGGTTGTGGGGCTTGAACTCTGGGCCTGGGCACTGTCCCTGAGCTCTTCAGCTCAAGGCAAGCACTCTACTACTAGAGCCACAGTGCCAATTTCAATTTTCTGGTGGTGAATTGGGATAAGAGTCTCATGGACTTTCCTGCCTGGGCTGGCTTTGAACCCTGATCCTCAGATCTCAGCCTCCTGAGTGGCTAGGATTGCAGGCGTGAGCCACCAGTGTCTGGCTGAACTAGTGTCTTTTTTTTTTTTTTTGGTCGGTCATGGGGCCTGAACTCTGGGCCCTCAGCTCTTCGGCTCAAGGCCAGCGCTCTCCCACTTGAGCCACAGCGCCACTTCTGGCTTTTTCTGCTTATGTGGTGCTGAGAATCGAACTCAGGGCCTCATGGATGCAAGGCCTGCGCTCTACCACTGAGCCACCTTCCCAGCCTTGAGCTGCTGTCTTTTTTAAGAATCCTCAGTAGCTTTGCAGTTTCTTTGTTCAAGTCGTTCTAATCCACCGGGGATTTGGAAATCAGGTCATAAAATCACAGGGTGGGAAGGAACCTTCAAGGCCCTCTGGAGAGGAGCGCGCGGCCACCTTGCTTGGGGGCTCGCAGCTGGGTGAGGGTGTGCAAAGGTGTGCCTGGCACTGGGACCGGTGGAGAGGCGGCGGCGGCCGCGGGCCCTGCACCCCCGCCGGCCGCCCGCCCGCACTGCGCCGCGTCGGCCCCTCCACGTGACCCGGCTGCACCCAGGCCACGTCTCCGCTCACCTCGGAGCCCCGCAGCTGCCAGGCCCGCGCCTCCCGCCAGCTCCAGCCTGAGAGACAGGCGGTCGCCACAGACGCGCCAGGGTCTCCTTGACACGGAAGCGTCTGGAAGCACTCGGGACCGGCCGCGGGTAAGGCTGGGGGGCGGGCCGCCGGC